AATGAGTAGAGTTATCATGTGGGTCAAATGAGAAGAGAGTTTCAGGAAGAAGGATAACCAACAATACAAGATGTCAAAGAGATAGCAAATAAGACATAAACTGAAGTTAGTGGATGTGGTGTCTTCGTTTCAATGGGATTATGGGAACAGAAACCTTATGAAAGTAGATGGAATAGTGAATGGGGTGTGATGAAGAGGAGAAAGTGAGTAAGAGGAGACTTTTTAGGAACTTTGATCTAACAGGTGGGTGAGACAGGACACTATAGAGATGGGACAGGAAAGTCAGGAAATAGTCCTTTAAGATAGAAGAAACACAAGGATAGTCATAGGCTATGGGGAAAGGAGTTAATATAGTACAAGATAAAATCTTAACAGAGAGTAGGACATGATGGAATAAGATTCTGGAGAAAAAAATAGGAGGAACAAGAGTGCAAGCAGATAAATGAACTGTGACCAGAACCAACTTCTGAACAGAAAAAAGCAGCATAGTAGGCACATAGTGGACAATCTTGAACAATTGGTGGTTTTAAACCAAGGCCCACATTGCAAAACTAGGACAGAAATTTTTGTTTACATTTATATTGATCATTGTTTTCACATTTATTTTGTGTAATGCTACAGAAGCCCTTTAAGGCAAGCAGAGTGGATTTTTGCTTGCTTGCTTTGGATTTGTTTTTTGTGGGTTTTTTGTTTGTTTGTTTGTTTGTTTGTTTTGTCTCCATCTTACAGGAAAAAAACGAAACCCAAGATTATGTTAGATTATTATTCAAGATCATAGAATCAGTATATTGCATAGACTAAGGACTCTACCCAGTGCTATTCCCAATACCTCAGAGAATGTTATGAAGACTTCAGTGCAACGAGGCAACCAGATCATACTTCTGAAATTCAGAAGAGAGAATCCCTGCCCACAATCATTTCTTTGATTGACAACAGACATGCTTGGTTGCCTGAAAGTCTATATGACAGCTAATAGGGAAGTCAATGCTATATCTTCCCTTGAGATGACCTGGGCATGTGCATCCTTTGAAATGTTCCTTTAATATTAGAGGGTGATTTGAGGTTCCTCCTACTTTGTCAGTATGAACAAGGAAAATATTTGGTAAATACACATGTTCTACTATTGGCTGAAAGGCCTCCACCCCCTTTCTTATGGGACCTGGTGAAACTGAAGTATGCAGAATCATCAGCCCCAGGCATATCACTGACAATTTCATTAGGAAAGAGGCAAAAGAGATCCCTTGCCACTCTTTCCCTTAGTGAATAGGAGCACTGCCCTTTAGCATAAAACATGAAAGGAGGTTTCTATAGTTCTGCCAGCTCAGCAAGAGAAAATATTAACCCTGCATATTCTTATCCCAGTTGTCTCAGCATGGGTGGGGAGGGAGGGGCCAGAATTACAGACTGTCAGCATGAGAGAGCAGAGCTCATTGTGTATCGGTTAAAAAGGAATTAGACCCACCAGATATCAACACATTGAATTTCTAAGGTTCTCTGCAAGTTCAGACAATTTGGCAGAAAAAGAAATCCCTTTAAATGATTTCTTTTTCTGTTTATATTAGGAAATGTGTGGCAGAACTCAGCATTTTAAAAAGTGGACAGCTTCAATTATACTAAGTAGACTGTCTCTACTTAATTAATTCACTTAGTCTCTGGGTGACACTGGGCGTGGCTTGGCGAGATTTAGGAGAAATCCAATTTATAACTAGAAGGGATCTAATTTGTAACTGGGAGGAATCCTCTGCACTAGGCAGCAAGGCGGCATCCTTCCACACCTTTCCAACGCTGCAAGGGAAAGATGAGGTTGGAATTCTCAACTACAGATCACACACTCTAAGGACTATCTGTTGTATGAGGGAAAAGGCAGATGTTGGTGGGGCTGAGGGGGCTACTTGCTTGCACTGGTATTCTTTACACTTCAATTAGAGTCCTTAGTTTTAAACAAAGGAAACACCTCACAATTTTCTTGCTTGTGGACTCAGATCCTATCTTGCAAGTTTTTTCATCATCTGCAATATGCATTGCAATTAAGCTGTTTCAAGTTAACCCCAAGGTATTTGAAAATCATAAACCAATAAAACCTCAAGAATTCTTTCCTTTTATTCCTCCTTTGCCCACTTCTTTACCATCGTCTTATCCTCATGCTGCTGCCATGCTCTTCTTCTTGCTTCAATAATCTATAGTGGTGGGTAATTAATGGCCAATAAAGATCATTTACGCTTTCGTCTCACCCATTGGCAATGTATTACAACTCAGAAATCCAAGGCTGCTTTTTATGCTGCTCCAGTGGAAGAGGAAGGAAGTGCAATCTCTCCAGCCTCCTCCCACGTTTCTGCTGGGTTTTATGGGTGTGGCAGAGTTTAGACCTTTGCAGATTTTTGCCCTTGTTTTATTCCCTGCTAAGGACTAGGATGACTAGATGCCAGGAGGAAGATAAACACAATCCGATTCTGCCATGAGTGATACAAGATCATTACACCCACAAGCAGGAAAGCCATGCGGGACAAGTACTCACACATAAATGCCCGTCAGTGTAGTATGGAACCCACGCCCTGAATACATCATTTCCTTCAGTCTGATTAAATTCTAGCCTACATACTGACTTATGTGAATGATATACAACAGTGGTAAATGGGGAACCGGACAATTTCACAGAGAAGCACTCATTTTTACATCAGGACAATTTCTATACCTTTTATTTTATCTCATGCATATAAATTATGCTAACATGCATTCAGGCATGTGGAAGCTACACAGAGTACAAGCATGACTATCATACATGAAGTGTGCAGATGCTATAGACATTTAGTGCAAATTTTTATAACTCCCAAACACAAAATTTCAGCTTCATTACTTTGCACCTCCAGGGGATACTTGGGGTTGTCACTGAAAGAGAACCCTAGGAAAGGCAACTATCCCCTTTTGGAGAAGGGAATTCCATTAGCCTCAATTCTTCCTAAAAATCATGCTTGGTTTTCTTTGTCAAAGGAGGGTGTATCTATACCTGTGTGTGTCTGCAGAGAGTGGCAGAAAGTTGTAAAGCAGCCTATCTTCTTTGCAAAATTAAGGCTTTTGTAAGGGAATAGCATTGGCTTCCTTTGGTCTCCGCCTTCCTAAATTCTATTCCCCCAGCTCACCAGTGGGGCAACCTCAGGGTGTTTCCTTGACAGTGTGCCTAACCCAGCCACCTGTATCTACTGCATGTATGTGTCAGAATGAACACAAGGAGAAGCCTGATATGGAAAAGAAGCACCAGTCTCTAGAACCATCAAACAGTTTGGGAAGTCTGGCATGAAGATTCCCATGCTCTTCCCCAAGCGCCTCTGCACAAACCGCCAAACCACACACAAAACCCCAGATGCCGGGTACTTTATTTATTTATTTATTTATTTATTTATTTATTTATTTATTTATGCATGCATGCATGCATGCATGCATGTATGCATGCTATGCCTCTCCACCCACTGCTCTGATATTCTGCTTCTGTCTTCCTTCCCCTTCCTCTTCCTTCTCCTTCATTCTCACTCCCCTCCCCGCCCCTCCTTTCAGGGCGCTGGCTGAATGTTCTAATCTGGCAGGCTGCTTCTTCTCCACCCCCTCCCCCTTCACCCCCTTCGGATTCAGCGAATGTATTACAAATTGCCCAGTATCCAATACCTGCACCAGAATAATGCCCAATTCCTATCTCTCGCACTCCACCCCTAAGGCAATCCATCTGCAAAAGGCTTCCTTAACCAAGACTGCCATCCGCTTCCCCCGGGCGCGCGCGCGGGCTGGCGGGCACGCGCACAGGCACACCCTCGCCCAGATCCCACACCCATTTTTCTCCGTAACCTTCGCCCAAACCACTCCAACGTGTTTCAATAAATGTTTGAAAGCTTCATTTGGCGAGTGCCAGGGCGCCGTCGGTTCCTGCTGAACGCCATGCTCTTCATCCTTCCCCAGCCTCACTCCCATCAAGTTTCTAAAATGTCTTTCAAGAAATAAGTGAGCAATTCGAAATGGAAGAAAAACCTGGGCAGTGGGGGAGGGAGGGCGGGGACTCGGATTCTTGCTAATCTTGTGTGGGTCCCTCTTCCGGATGAAAATGAGTCACCAAACGCTTATTATCCAGAATGTTAGCCCGACTCCGGTCACTGACAACCCCCGGAAAAAATGCCAGGGAAGGGGAGGAGAGAACTGATTTCCAACAGGTAATACTGGGCTCGTCTTCCCCATCCCCTCCGAGCTCGAAGCTCCTAGGGGCGTGGTCCACCCTCTCCTCGGACAGCTGGTGGGTGCACAATCGCTAAGGGGATTTTCCCCTTTTATGCGGCCAGTTTCTCCCCAGCCCCATTTGCCTTCAGATTTTTTTTTTTGAAAGAGATAGAAAAAAGAAAAAGAAAATTAAAAAAGCATCTTCCAAATCAGTTTCATTCATTGACAAATAAATAAATAAATAAATAAAGCCTTCATATGTTCTTCCATCAATACCTGCGCCCATTTGAAGCTCAGGCATGTAGGATCTAAGCAGCACATGTGAGAAAATTGTACCACAGAACAAGCTCTACTCGTTACTAAATATTATTCTTTCAACCTGGCTTTTTGCAAATAATATAAAGGGTGGCTTCCCCATCTTATAGGTAAAAACCTACATATTTCTCCCAGATCCGTGTCTACATCCACACCCGCAAAACCAGACCCGAAATGCTGAACATTAACTTAATAACCAGATAAATAAATAAATAAATAAATAAATAAATAAATAAATCTTATTTCTAAGCCAAACGGGCGTATTTTTCCCTATCATCGTCTAAATTAGTAGCAGCAATCCCAAACCAGAGCATGAGAGACAGAATAGAATAAAAGCTGGGATGCAACCATCAGTTACCAGAGGCTAAGGAAACGCGAGCACCATGGCCAGAACAGAAGCAGTTAAAATATTTTTCCTGCCTTCACAGGGAAATACTGTACTCTAGTAATTTCACAACAGTAAGAAGTAAAAAAATCTTTAGCTCTACCTGTTTGGTTCTTCTCATACAGCACAGCATGGTTGTATCGTCCCTTGCCTTCTTCCTGCCTTCTCTCCTTTCCTCCTCTCTCTTTCTTATTCCCCCCCTCTCCACCTCTTTTCTGCTCGCTTGCTCACTCGCTCTCTCGCGCTAGCGCGCTCTCTCTCCCTCCCTCCCTCTCTCTCCCTCACACACACCAGGGCAGTTAGCAGCAACTGTAAGGTCCACAGCTATTGCTCATCGCACATGCTCTCTCCTGTCTCTCTCTCCTCTCTCTCTCTCTTTCTTTTTCTCTCTCCTCTCCTTTTCTTTTCTCTCTCTTCCCCTCCTCACCTACTCTGTCTTTCTTTTTCTTCTGTGTCTCTCGATCTCTTTCTCAGAATTGTTCTCTAGCTTTCAATGACTAATCACTTCCCCAGCCCCACCCCCATTCTAGACAGTCGCCCCCTCCCAGTCCCCTGCCAGCCTCATGAATATTTAAACATCTCCAATCTGGACCCAATTACCCACCGACTTTCTCCCTGCATTAAGAGGATGGGTGGGGTGGGGGCAGAGAAGTATATTCCAGCCGGTTCAGGAGATTGGATGGCATGTGTTTTACATGGAAGAGGGGCCTGAGGAATGCTTATATTTCTTTGCTAACTCTGTTCTTTTCCCAGATTTATACAACACGTCATATCTGCTATTTAGGATTTATGCAGTTAATAATTGTGAGGGTTGTTACCTCAAAAAATATTACACATTGTGTATATACTGTACTCAGTTTTTGTATAACCTAAAATAAATACTGGTACATACATATAAGCTGAGATATGCACAAACATATTTCATACATGTTCCACTATCCTTGAAAAAATCCACAACTACATTGCATTTTAAACAGTTTAGACACTTGAGTTTAGAAATAACTAATATTGTCCTAGCTGGTTTGGCTCAGTGGGTAGTTTAGCCTGCGGAGTAAAGGGTCCCTTGTTCAATTGAAGTCAGGAGCTCATGCCTGGGCTGTGGGCTTGATCCCCACTGAGGGGCATGTGGGAGGCAGCCTATCAATGATTCTCTCTCATCATTGATGTTTCTATCTCTCTCTCCCACTTCTTTCCTCTCTGAAATCAATAAAAATATTTATTTTTAAAAAGTGTAAATAATATAATTTTAGCTATATAAAATACTGTGCAATTTTGGGACTGTTACTGAACCTCTCTGCACCTAATTTTCTAATCTCTATAATAGGGATAATAAGGCCAACCTATTACTGTACTCTAGTAATTTCACAAATAACAAATATATGCAAAGCATAATGAAGCCATTCTTAATACATAGTAGATTTACCTCACAGACTGTACTTTTCTGAAATTTTGGTGAATTTCCAAGGAACTATCTCAAAGAACTTTTCATACTATTGCTTGTTGTTCATTAGTGATGCTAAGCATCCCCAATTAAACAGCTCATATTCTTCAGCTCCTAGACATGAGTCTAGTTAATAGACATTAACCAGACAGTTATTATCATATATATTATCAGGATCACTGAGCTTAATATATGCAAGATGGGTTTTGATAAAATTTGAGGTACACCCATCTCAGAAGGGACTGTCTCAGAGAAATAGTTACTCAGGGGTTGATGTTTATAAATTGTCCCCAGAGGTCTTCCTGAGCCTCACCTGCTGCAGATGCAGCTTTACTTGTCCTTTCATTCCTCTCCATTTGCTTTTTAGCTTTCATAAGTTATGATTAAAATATAGAGTTAGGCCCTGGCCAGATGGGTGGCTCACTTGGTTGGAGCTTCAATCCTTAGACCAAAAGGTTTCAGATTCCATCCTCAGTTGGAGGGGTTGTTCTGGAGGCAACCAATAAATGTTTTTTTCCTTACATGGATGTTTCTCTCTCTCTCTCTCTCTCTCTCTCTCTCTCTCTCTCTCTCTCTCTCTCTCTCTCTCTCTTCCTCCCTCCCTCTCTCTTCCTCTGTCACTCTCAAACAAAACAGTCAGTAAAAACATATCATAGGGTGAGGATTAAAAATAAATAAATAGATAAATAAATAAATAAATAATAAAGTTAGGTTCTGGGTTTAATATTTTTTAATGTTGTAATGAGCCCAGTCAGAGCCAAGCTTTCAAAAACAGCTTTCTATGGGTGTAAGTGATAGAAGAGGGTAAATAATGTTAGAAATGTCTTCATCAGAGACATTCTGTTTATGTTTAGGATCACCCTACCTAGCCTGCTAAGGGGTTAGAGAGTGATAAAGGAAGGAAGCAGAGAAGGTGAGAACTGAGGACAAGGGAGAAGAATTGCTTTTTCTGGTATTTAAACAGACTCATAGATATAATCATTATGTGGTCCAGCATAAGGCAGCTAGTGTAAGCTCACATAGTAGGCCATAGAAAAAGGCCAACTCCTTGCCCTTTCAATGCACTCCCCTCAGCCCTCCTATTTATAGATTCTTTTCCTTTTGAATTATTGGAAGAAAATTTGGAACTTAAGGGACATAATAAAGTCAAACAGAGTATAATACTCAAAACTAGTTAGGCCTGGATGAATTTTAAGATGACATATGTTAAGTCACCATTCTTGGCATCAGTTTTTTTCAGTAGTTCACATGTAATATTTCATTTAATGCTGTAAATGAGGTCATTACAATCATTAATCCATTTTGATGGTAATTCTAAAGGTAAGTAAATTAAGTACCTAGACTAGGTCCCCACAGATAATAAGAGCTATGATTCCAAAACCCTGTTAGCTACTAAAATGCATTGCTACTCAATGGCTCTGTACACCTCCTTACTTCTGGTCCTTAGGAATTAGACTACATGGTGGAAATGAAATTAGCATTCTGAAAGGTCCACCTATTAGTTCCAGTCCTTACTTCAAGGGCCATGGGGAACAAGCTGACAGCATCATCCAGTAGCAAGTCTTCCATGTATTTCTGACCAACTATCAGTGATTTCAAGCACTCTCAGAAGGCTCAGCATGTAAAGCCTGGCCCATCTTGGATGCCTTACTCTGGACATTTTACATTCTGTCAATGAACCTCTGAAAATTACTTCCCAGAAGGGAACTCAATATTTCAAATTCAGGCTAGTGTTGCTTAGTTGTCAGTTGGTATGAGTGTGGTTCTGTGCACCAAAGGATCCTGGATTCGATTCCAAGTTAAAGTACAAACCTAGGTTGCAGGAGACAACCAATCAAAGTTTCTTTCTCATCTCTCTCTCTCTCTCTCTCTCTCTCTCTCTCTCTCTCCTTACCCTTAGTCTCTCTCTAGAATCAATTAAGAACATATCCTCGGTGAGGATTTAAAAAACAATATTCCAGCTCTAGCTGATTTGGCTCAGTGGATAAAGTGTCAGCCCATAGATTGAAGGGTCCTGGGTTTGATTCTGGTCAAGAGTACATACCTCAGTTGCAGGCTTAATCTCTGGCCCTAGCAAATGAGGGAGGCAACCTATCAATGTGTCTTTCTCACATTGATGTTTATCTTTCTGTGTCTCCCTCCTTTCCACTCTCTCTAAAAAAAAAATATCAATGAAAAAATATCCTAGGGTGAGGATTTAAAAAAAAAACACAAAACAAGCAAACAAAGAATTCCAAATTTAATTTGAAAAATATTGAATAAAATCCAATATGACCTCTCCCCACTTCAGTAATGGAAGTTATGGGATGATAGAGGAATGAGGAAGAGAAAAGCACACACTAATGTGATCTTGACTATATATATATATATATATATATATATATATATATATATATAATAAAATAACCAGTATTGTTTTGATCTCTACCAATAAACCCACTGGTCAATAAAGCCAATCCCAGAAAATGCTTAGGTTTATATAATTTTAGATTAGCAGATTAACTCATGAAACTATCAGGAAATTTCCTGACTATAGGTTAGACAATAACATCATTTTAAAAGAAGGTGAAGAGGGGTAAGGCCAGGCCCTAGTCCTATTCTCATATCTTTCTTAATTCCATAGTAAAATGACGTTTCCATAATAAATCCAAAAGTCACTGAGTTGGACAACAGGCTCTGTCAGGTAGTGTGCTATTTTATGCCTAGCACTTGAAAGAAGCGTGTCATCAATTGAGGTAGAAAATAGATTTTATCCTTTTGTTCCCCCTTCCAGGAGTTCATTTTTTTTTAACTTTTAGTCTTCACCTTTTACCTGCTGTATTATTGTACTAGGGCTGTCATAACAAAATACCACAGATGTGGGGCTTCAATAATAGACACTTATTTTCTCACAGTTCTGGAGGTTGGAAGACCAAGTTCAAGGTTGGCTTCCTCTGAGGTCCATAAGGGAAAGATCTATTCCAGAGCCCTCTCTTTTCCCTAAGCCACCCTCTCACTGCCTTTTCATATGGTGGTCCCTCTGTGCTTGTGCACCCCTGGTGTCTTTCTGTGTCTGAATTTCCTTATTAAAAGACATTATTCTATTTATATTGAAGCCCACCCATATGACGTCATTTAACCTTAATTCTCTCTTGAAAGGACCTATCTCCAAATACAGTCACATTCTGAGGTACTGGGATTAAGGCTTCAACATATGATTTTTTTTGAGGGGGTGGGGGGCGGGGGGGGCACAATTCAGTCCACAAAACCAGCATTCTTTATCAGTACTTTCTGGCTTTATTCATTTATTCAACAGTTTCTTTGTTGCAAAAACATCATACCCTTAAGGAGGTGCACACATATATGAAAAACAAAACAAATGCTGTTTTAACAAAACAAGAGTTGATGTCAAATCTGTGTTATAAGAATTCAGAATTGGAAAGAAATCACTGTGGACCAGGATAGGTTTTAAACAGGTGGAGAAAGCACAATGAGTTTTAGAGGGAAAGGCATCACATTAGAAAAGGCAAGGAGCACAAATGATCTCTGCATGACCAAGGGACTATTGATATGCAGAAGAGGGGAAATTGTAAAAGAGAGATGGGAGAACCTTGGAAGGTAGGCTACAGACCCAGATTAAGAAGGATCTGAAGGGTCAGAATATTCATGGCATAGGACTGCCATAAGAAATTTCCATAAACTTAAAACAACAG